ATATTGATTGGGAATCTGTTATTTGCAAGACATCATTGTTGGTGCTAGGCATTAAAAAATAGATTGTAGATACAGTGTGTAATGGATAATAAAATACACAACCATAACTAAACACAATTTAAAAATTTGGTAAGGACCACAAGAAAAGTGCAAATCAAGTTTTAAGGATCTATATTTTACATGTTTAGGGCTTGATACTTGGTCCAAGACTTTAAGTCCTCCTCAACCCCTAACATAGAACCTTGCATACAGAACATACTTGATTAATGTTAGCTTAGAAGGTGAGCTGTAAAATTGTTTTATAAATTTATGCCTAGTCAATCAATGGCATTTTCATTATCCAAAACTAAACTCTTCAATCTGAAGATATTTATAACAAATAATGTTTTTGTTATATAGAATGTGATATTTTAATTTTCATGAGTGCCTCCTTTCTTTTCATTGTACTCCATATCCTGATTTTTATTTCAAGACTCGTTCTACTAAATCTTACATGATATCCACTGCCCAGTTAACCTAGGTCTGTAAGGTTCATGGAATGTGGCTATAATTCTTTCTGCCTCTAAGATATCTAGTAATCAAGACTTAAAGAAAGGGCTCTGAGGAGTCTCTGAGTTCATGGGGTCTTGCCTCTTTTAAGTACAACTTACTAGAAAAATATGTAAAATAAATGATTGTCAGAGCTTTAGAGGAAGTTATTAACATTACTCTCTTTCTCAAAAACAACTGTATTGTTCAATCAACCTGAGGGATCACTGAATTAAGTCAGCTTTTTAAAAAATAGATTATTCTGCATTTTTCACAACTTGAAGTTCCCTAAAGTACTCAAGATTGAGTAAAATAAAATGTGCTTTCTTTTGATCTGAGTGATTGAGGTAAAGTGAAGGCATAAATTATGTTTAAGGACCCTTAAATCTCTTTTAAGATTTCATGACTCTCTAATACTCGATAGTAGGATGCATTGGTTATGATGCCAACTACTATATAGCCAACACCTTTTCAACTCAACCCCCTCTATCCATTCCGTTTGTTAACAGAATTTTCCTTCACTGCCTTAACCCAAGCAGAAATTTTTTAGAAGCTTCATCTGCCCCCACTTTGAAGACATCTGGCTAAATTTCAAAGAGAAAGGACACAGCAGAGTTAAAAGGAAGCAAAAAGGACAGCCTTCTTTTGCCTAAGTTCTGTCAATTTGACTGACTCTTACTTGTGAATTTTTCTTGCCACTGAGTCATTCCATACAGAATTATGAAACTTTAATTTCTTTAGAGGCTTGTTATATTAGAAAAATTGTTCCAAAGAAAGCAACAATCATGACATAAGCACATCTGGCTCTTGCAAATTATTCTTTATTAAGCTTTCATTTAATTACATGTGCTGAAAGGTCTGTTTTTGATTACTGTAATTTTTTTATTTGTCCATCTGAATGATAGTAATGCTGGAAATTATATACAAACCACCTGTTTTTTCTCCCCTACTAATATAGCAAAGTTTGAGCTGTTTCCTCTCTGGTTGATGAACTAGGAAGCTTTCTATTTATTATGATAGAAATTTGACTATCAAGGTAATGGCTTAATCTTGAGTATAAGAGGAAAATAAAATATTTGAATGAAGTTTTCAAGCATTAACTAGTGTTAAGATTGGGGCACCTAACTTCTGGCTAACTATAGCAGATTAACACATTTATTTATTGCCAGTTTCATACAAATCTTAATATAGCAACAGTTAAGGATTATAGGTATAAACCTTCAAGTAGAAATAGAAAGAGAGGCCAAAAATGTTTTTGGAATATGAGAAATGGATAGATAGGGATAGATAACTGTCTTTGCAAAAAAGAGAAAGCTGATATCTAAGCTTTAAGAGTGTAAAGCAGAAAAGAATCAAGCCCAATTGGGAGCTGAATCTTTGAAAGGTTGAAGAATTAAAGGCATCATGTATCGTTGAAGGCAAGGATTGAAGAGGTAGATTTGTAGACAAGATGATTAGTTGAAAACAGACAGAAGATGATCCCTCTCTAACCCTATGCAACTGGTAACTATAATTCCTACCTCTCAACCACCATAACCGCTACATAACTTGGTAGAAGACTGGAAGTTTATGGAAGGTTACTCTCCTGAGAAGTTGAACTTGAGAGGTTGAGAGGGAGATTATTTTTGGTGTGTGTGTATGTGTGTGTGTTAGGCATAGCCAAGAATGAGTAGTGATAACATTTTGGAAAGGTGATAGAGCAAGACAGTAAGATCCCCTAGCTACCTCCTCCTGCTTGGCCCACTCAGTGGTGGCATACAAGTCTATCCCTCAACACAGGCAAGAATTTGAGGATCTCTCTCAAAGAAAATAGTCCAATGTAAAAGAAACAATCTACAGATATTGATATTTGGGATTCCTCATTGAAAAAACCCTATTTATGCATTATTACTTTATACACATCAGTCAATAAGTGAACCCCCCCATTTAGACTTTTCAATCATCTTGTGAGTATGTCACTATTATAGATGAATAAACAATCAATGAACACTAAAAACTTCATTAAAGCCTCTTATAAGGAAGAACCCAAAGAGCTTGAAAAAGACAACAATGCAGAGAACAGAAAGCAAAAACAAATCCCAAACCTATAATTAATATTATTCAACAGAATAGACAACTGGATGCTATAAAAAGAAGCAATTAGAGAACAAAAGAGTACCTTTAAAATAAGAATATAAATTTTAAAAATTCATAGATGCCTTGAAGATCAAGTTAAAAAAATCTATGATAGAGTATAATGAAAGGTCAAAAAGTGAATAATAGAAGGGAAAATAAGGAAATCGAACAGTTATCCAACAGGAGTTTGAGAAAGAGAATAGAGGGAAGAAAGTTGTTAGTTATTTATCAGATTTAGGGAATATGAGTTTACAGAGTAAGAAGGCCAAGTGTATAGAACAATACAAACATAAACGGATGCACCTCATAGTGAAGTTTCAAAACACTTGGCATAAATGGAAGATCCTAATGCTTTCATAGGGGAGAATAAATTGCATATACAGGATCAGGAATCAGAATGACATCAAACTTTCTTAGCAATAAAAATAAGAAAACAACAGATCAATATCTTTAGAATTCTGAGGGACAATTATTTTCAACTTAGAATTCTATACCATTCAAACTACAATCAACTAAGAGGCATAATCATAACATTTCTCAGAATATTAGCTCTTAAAAATTAACTGCACATATACCTTTTTCAGGTACCTCCTGGAAGATGTGCTCTATCCAAAAGAAACAGTTTAGTAAGAGGCAGGAAATCATGATAGCCAGGAAACAGAATTAAGGATAGAGAGGCAAGAGTAATTATACATACTATAGATCTGCAGTAGGCCTAAAGAATCAACTACTTCAGATTAGAGCAAGAGATAGAAAATTCCAAGATGGACATCTGCATGGAGAAGAGGTATAAGATACCTAACACAGATTACCTGATATATTCAACTAGACTGGGTTGCATTTCATTGGTCTCTTGGAGAGTTTGGGAATTGATTTGTGATATTTCCATAATAAATTAATAAAAATTGAGGCAAATATTAAATCTAACAAAATAAAAAGTTGAGAAATAGAAAATTAAGTATAGTTCAACTGTGAATAATATCTAAAGAGAATGCTATAAACAGTAAACATTAATTTTAAAATTTGTGATATTAACATTAAGAAATCAGGGAGGAAAGTCTGAAGCACATGTGGGGTTGGTAATATAAGAGAAGTAAATTTTCGTCTTTTATTATATAAAGTCAGTGGATAAAGATTTAACAGTATATATGCATCTACAAGTGAGACAATAAATACCAATCAAACCATTAAGTTCAAGGGATATACAGAGCTGGGTCTGAGGTAGGGAGGACAGGGGCAGGAAAACCAAGGCTACCACATGCGGCTGTAGAGGCTGTGTACTGTACATGTTGGCCATGCTGTTTTGTTGTTGGTTTCTTTCTGGTTTTAAGCCCTAAAGTAGTAATGAACTTGTTAAACTTGTTGACTATAAGAATACTTTGATAAAAATTAACGTTATATAAAAAGAGGTTGGTCAACCTGTCTTTCAATCTTTGTTCCTAATTTAGCTATATCCACATATTTTGAGGTTGACAATTTTAAGATTTATAATATCAGGTTATCCACTTATCACGGAAAAAGGAATTCTCTTAAAACTGAGCAGATAGAATGAGTAAGAGTATCATTGGTTTGCTCAAGAGGACCATAGGCATTACTTCAGAAAAGACTATGAAACAGCATTGAGAATATAATGAGCATAACCTGGAGTCTCAGGCAAAGGCAGGACCTGAGGAAAGAAATAGAGCGATCTTTTCTGGACCTGATTCAGGTTGAGAATAAAGTGGGTAGCTTCTGTGTCCCACCCAACAAAAAGCTTGATGTTTTGTTTTTATTTTATAATCCATTGAGGACTATGTTATGTGTTTCCTGGAAGTAAGAGGGCCTGCCTTTGGGCCTCCAGGGTCTTGAGGGTGGCACTCATCATCCAGAAGGATCAGAGTTCCCAGAGAAGCTCAGTCAATGCTGAATAAGAACAGTGTAGTTCTTCCAGGAATCCATAGGAATATTCAGATTAGTTCTTAGTTCAGGAATAATAGAATTACATAAATGGGTAAACCAGATATTTAAGGGACTTTTTAATAGAGATTTGAAGCATGAGAAAGAATCTTTGAGACAACTTAGTCAAATTCCTTTTTGTGAAGAAATCCTTCTAGAGGGATCAAGTCCTTTATTCAGGGTTTCAATATTATTGCCAGAAGGAACAGGCACAGAACCACAGCTCCCATGCCAATGCTCTTTCTTTCCATTGTATTACTTGGTTTTTCTTATTTTCCTCTTTGAAAAATAGTAAAAGAGAAATTGTGAGGCTGTCAGAAAAATAGTCACCTAACAATACGGTAAGTTTTATTTATTTTTTTCCTGAAACTCCATTTTAGCTGCATTTAAAGAGATCAATGTTTGTCTTCACTGTTTTGCAGCAGCTCTATGCCGCTCAGCTGGCCAGCATGCAGGTGTCACCTGGAGCAAAGATGCCATCAACTCCACAGCCACCAAACACAGCAGGGGCAGTCTCACCTACTGGGATAAAAAATGAAAAGAGAGGGACCAGCCCTCTAACTCAAGTTAAGGTACTTGCTTTGCAGAATTGTGGAAACTGTTTGGAAAATAGCTTCACAAGAAAGGTAGTGAACCAAGCTATGCTGGGAATAAACAGCAGGCAGCATAGCAACATAAAGGAACCCCAAAATGCTCCTCTTTATGGTAAATTTCATGATTGAGCATTGAGAAACAGGTGTTTCTCTTTTGATAACAATAGTGCCATATTGTGAGATCTTTACCTAAATCTGCAAACTCACTTCTCAAAAATGTTTCCCTTTTGGATTCTGGCTTTTATTTTTTAATGTTCATTGGCATAAATGGCCATGATTTTATTGCTAGTCTTTGTCATGGACTTGTGACACTTCTTTCCATGTTCCTTAAACAGGTGGGGAGCCAACTTACAGTACGAAAGAAGGAAGATTGTGAATTTTTAGCTTTAGAAGGGGGACAAAAAAATAATTTAATGCTGAATACTAAATGGTTTGTTGATGAAGTTCTCTCCAAAATAAGTTGTAAATGGGGACTCTGAGGAATTAATGACATCATTGCCTAGTTGTGCTTTTGATGCCAAATAATTGTGATAGACTTTTTCAAGTAATAATGTCAACATTAATAGATACCTTTCCTAACTGATTTTCAATGCCTTGAAACTGGGCATCCTGGAGATATTTGGTGACAGAGAGAAACTGATGAGCTACTCCAACTTTGTGCTGCAGCTGGTACCTATAGGTGGTACTGGTTGTTTTTTATGATTATATTTGCTTTCCATCTTGAATTACTTAATTCAAATAGTTCAGAGAAACTATTGTCCTATATAGTTTACTTATCTACTTGGGCATGGGTATGTTAAATATAGATGCTGTATTATAATGTGACAAAAATGTGCATTTGGAAAGTTGTTGCAATTATTAAATCTTCACATAGAAAGCAGTTAAGACCAACCAAACTCAGCATTGGATGGTATATAATTACTGAAATTGTTTTATTTTTTTTTTAAATTTACAGTTAGGAATTTTGAGACTGAAGAAAGTCTCGAAAAAAACAAGGGACTCCAAATATCAAAGATCAAAAAAGTGAGCATCATTAATACAGAGAGACTAACACCAATTCCCCAAGTTAATTTAATGCCATTCAGTCTTTTAGATTCTCCAAAGAAATAGATGAACATTTATGTTTTGTTGTTAGAAATATTAAGATATGAAAATAGGTGGTTTACATTTCATAAGACAGTAGTTTTTTTTAGGAAAACAGGCTATTTTGTGTTCCAAAAGTTTATGTTTGTGAATAAGAGAATACTACAACTTTAACCAAGTCATTAGAATATAGGAAATATCTGTGACTTGAGCTATTGAGTATTAAATATTTTAACATGAAAAAGTCATTTTATAAGTATTGGCCAACTGGAACTACACAAAACCAAGCCTTTACTGTAAGAATAAAATGTTCCCTGGTTATGTTCAAGCTTATATCTGCTTTTACCATTCTGTCTTTGTGGGACAACTGAATTTTTATTACTCACTTGACCACACGCAAATTCTTAGGGAGTTCTCTATATAATTTAACTTGCCTATATTTTATGTTAATAACAAAGAAAACATTTCTCATACCAATTAGATTGTTTATTGTATATGTGTGTGAAAACATATAAACCAAAACATAAAGCAAATGTTTCAAAATTTAAAAATAACTATTATTGAAGAACTTCTGAAAATAATCCCATGGCTTTCTAATTGAAAAAAAAAAATTATGATCACCAAAATCTCTCATGTTTCTCTCTGTAGTCATTTGCTTATTTTGGTTTTTTTTTTTTTTTCCTAGCATTTCTTTTTTTTTTTTTTTAAATTTTTTATTGTGGGTTGTTCAAAACATTACAAATTTCTTGACATATCATATTCCACACTTTGATTCAAGTTGGTTATGAACTCCCACCTTCACCCCATACACAGATTGCAGATTCACATCAGTTACACATCCATTGATTTACAAATTGCCATACTAGTGTCTGTTGTGCTCCGCTGCCTTTCCCATCATCCACCCTCCCCCCTCCCCACCTCTCCCCTCCCCTCCCCTCCTCTCTCTCTACCCCCTCCACTGTATAACCCTGAGGGTCTCCTTCCATTACCGTGCAATTTCCCTTCTCTCTCCCTTTCCCTCCCACCTCTCATCCCTGTTAAATGTTAATCTTCTTCTCCTGTTCTTCGTCCCTACTCTGTTCTTAGTTACTTTCCTTATATCAAAGAAGACATTTGGCATTTGTTTTTTAGGGATTGGCTAGCTTCACTTAGCATAATCTGCTCTAATGCCATCCATTTCCCTGTAAATTCTATGATTTTGTCATTTTTTAATGCAGAGTAATACTCCATTGTGTATAAATGCCACATTTTTTTTATCCATTCGTCTATTGAAGGGCATCTAGGTTGGTTCCACAGTCTTGCTATTGTGAACTGTGCTGCTATGAACATCGATGTAGCAGTGTCCCTGTAGCATGCTCTTTTTAGGTCTTTAGGGAATAGACCAAGAAGGGGAATAGCTGGGTCAAATGGTGGCTCCATTCCCAGCTTTCCAAGAAATCTCCATACTGCTTTCCAAATTGGCTGCACCAATCTGCAGTCCCACCAGCAATGTACAAGTGTACCCTTTTCCCCACATCCTCGCCAGCACTTGTTGTTGTTTGACTTCCTAATGGCTGCCAATCTTACTGGAGTGAGATGGTATCTTAGGGTGGTTTTGATTTGCATTTCTCTGACAGCTAGAGATGGTGAGCATTTTTTCATGTACTTGTTGATTGACTGTATGTCCTCCTCTGAGAAGTGTCTGTTCAGGTCCTTGGCCCATTTGTTGATTGGGTTGTTTGTTCTCTTATTGTCTAATTTTTTGAGTTCTTTGTATACTCTGGATATTAGGGCTCTATCTGAAGTGTGAGGAGTAAAGATTTGTTCCCAGGATGTAGGCTCCCTATTTACCTCTCTTATTATTTCTTTTGCTGAGAAAAAACTTTTTAGTTTGAGTAAGTCCCATTTGTTGATTCTAGTTATTAACTTTTGTGCTATGGGTGTCCTATTGAGGAATTTGGAGCCCGACCCCACCGAATGTAGATCGTAGCCAACTTTTTCTTCTATCAGACGGCGTGTCTCTGATTTGATATCAAGCTCCTTGATCCATTTTGAATTCACTTTTGTGCATGGCGAGAGAAAGGGATTCAGTTTCATTTTGTTGCATATGGATTTCCAGTTTTCCCAGCACCATTTGTTGAAGATGCTATCCTTCCTCCATTGCATGCTTTTAGCCCCTTTATCAAATATAAGATAGTTGTAGTTTTGTGGATTGGTTTCTGTGTCCTCTATTCTGTACCATTGGTCCACCCGCCTGTTTTGGTACCAGTACCATGCTGTTTTTGTTACTATTGCTCTGTAGTATAGTTTGAAGTCTGGTATCGCTATACCGCCTGATTCACACTTCTTGCTTAGCATTGTTTTTGCTATTCTGGGTCTTTTATTTTTCCATATGAATTTCATGATTGCTTTCTCTATTTCTACAAGAAATGCCGTTGGGATTTTGATTGGCATTGCATTAAACCTATAGAGAACTTTTGGTAATATCGCCATTTTGATGATGTTAGTTCTGCCTATCCATGAACAGGGTATATTTTTCCATCTTCTAAGATCTTCTTCTATTTCTCTCTTTAGGGTTCTGTAGTTTTCATTGTATAAGTCTTTCACCTCTTTTGTTAGGTTGATTCCCAAGTATTTTATTTTTTTTGAAGATATTTTGAATGGAGTGGTTGTCCTCATTTCCATTTCAGAGGATTTGTCGCTGATATACAGGAATGCCTTTGATTTATGCGTGTTGATTTTAAATCCTGCCACTTTGCTGAATTCATTTATTAGCTCCAATAGTTTCTTTGTAGAGCCTTTTGGGTCTGCTAGATATAGAATCATATCATCTGCAAATAGTGATAATTTAATTTCTTCTTTTCCTATTTTTATGCCTTTAATTTCTTTCGTCTGTCTAATTGCTCTGGCCAGTGTTTCGAGAACTATGTTGAAGAGAAGTGGAGAGAGAGGGCATCCCTGTCTTGTTCCAGATTTTAGAGGGAATGCCTTCAGTTTTTCTCCATTCAGAATGATGCTAGCCTGAGGCTTAGCATAGATTGCTTTTACAATATTGAGGTATGTTCCTGTTATCCCTAGTTTTTCTAGAGTTTTGAACATAAAGGGATGCTGTACTTTGTCGAATGCTTTTTCCGCATCTATCGAGATGATCATATGGTTCTTATTTTTAAGTCTATTGATGTGGTGAATAACATTTATTGATTTCCGTATATTGAACCATCCTTGCATCCCAGGGATGAATCCTACTTGATCATGGTGTACAATTTTTTTGATATGTTTTTGTATCCGATTCGCCAGAATTTTATTGAGGATTTTTACATCTAGGTTCATTAGAGATATTGGTCTGTAGTTTTCTTTCTTTGAAGTGTCTTTGTCTGGTTTAGGTATCAGGGTGATGTTGGCCTCATAGAATGAATTTGGAAGTTCTCCCTCCTTTTCTATTTCCTGAAGTAGCTTGAAAAGTATTGGTATTAGTTCTTCTTTAAAGGTTTTGTAAAATTCTGCTGTATACCCATCCGGACCTGGGCTTTTCTTAGTTGGTAGTCTTTTTATGGTTTCTTCTATTTCCTCAATTGATATTGGTCTGTTTAGGTTTTCTATATCCTCCTGACTCAATCTGGGCAGATCATATGACTTAAGAAATTAATCTATGCCTTCACTATCTTCTAATTTATTGGAGTATAAGGATTCAAAATAGTTTTTGATTATCTTCTGTATTTCTGAAGTGTCTGTTGTGATATTGCCTTTTTCATCCCGTATGCTAGTAATTTGAGTTCTCTCTCTTCTTCTCTTCGCTAGCATGGCTAAGGGTCTGTCGATTTTGTTTATTTTTTCAAAGAACCAACTTTTAGTTTTGTCAATTTTTTCAATTGTTTCTTTTGTTTCGATTTCATTAATTTCAGCTCTGATTTTCATTA